CACCAGGTTCATAATGAACCTGGTGGTTGGTGAGTTAAGACTGATCGGTCTTTGGTTTAAACTCTGCTTAAATCTAAGCTAAGATCTCGGTTTATCTTTACTGCTACTTCCATTCTCCCTCTGAAATGTAATGGCTACAGGCCTGTCTAACTGGCAGTCACAGATAGAGCCGAGCTCCAACCTAGCTTTAAATTAACTTATTTGAATAGCTTTAGGCATTTACCTGTGCTCGGCAGAGAGTAATTCTACATCGTGGCTGCAAGGCAGCTGTACGCAGCACACAAGGTAGAGGAGGGGTGAGTAAGACTCGTATTTTCATTACCACCAAGAAGCTAACGCAAATTTGGGTGGCTTAACTTTGTTTTATTTTTAGACTACACAATTTGTATCACTGAACGTCTCAATCTGGTGTTCTTACTCTTGCTGATTTTCACTGGTTTGATCCTAGAAGAACAACAGGAGATCAGACATACTGTCAATTCGATCCAAAAGAAGTATAAATAGTGGGGAAAGATTCAGTGTACAAAAGAATGCACCAGATACTCTTAATACTGCATTATACAAAGTTCGCTTGTTAGGAAGTGAATAGAGAAAAAATGCCACTACTCAGATTTTGTAGCTTTCCACAAAGTTCTAATAAGAACTGTGATATAAGGGACAGTAACTTACTATTTGTCAAAGTAATTTGTTAAATTGTTGTGAACTTAAGACATTTTGGGCAGGGCACAAAGAACGGAAAATCTTAGCTAAATGAAATAATGATCTCCTTTCATATAGCTTACTGTGTGAACACTTCTGCAACGAGTCTAGAAGCTCGTTGTAGTGAATTCAACCAGTCGGGGGACCAGGCATGTGTGATGGGATGTGCAGTCGTAGAAGAACTGGTAGACTGCTAGAAGCATAATCAGCCGGGCAGGTTTTAGGCTTCTAGAAAGAAGTTTAAAAAGGAGAGACTCATTCAGCTAATGGCTGGTGGGGTGGGCGATGGCAGAGCTTGTAGTACTTGCTGTGCAAATGTAAACTTCTTACTACAGACTTCCCACGGGAAGGAGGCCGTAACGCGGAAGGACTGCTGTCTCTGCATGATTTAACCCAGGTTCTTCCAAATAGCAGTGATCTGAAAAGATCGGCTTATTTCAGGCTCTGTAGAGCACCGAGGCAGTAGGAACCGCTGAGAAGTGTTCCCAGAAAAGCGAAAAGAAGTCTGGTCCTAAGGGTCCAGGGTGCACAATCTACTAATGAATGGAGCTTTACACAGCCCTTCCACACAATTCTAGGTGAAATTTAATTACATTAAATCGCTGACCCAGTTACATAGCACATCTATGGCTGAAAACAAAGACTGGATGCATCTCTGTACAAGTTTCTGCTGTGTGGTGCACACATACCCTGTTTCCAGTTTGAATTTCAGGTATGCCAGAATGACTGGAATAATCACAACCAAGCCAAGGGGCCAGATCACGTGAAAACCTGGTTTCAGGGTTGGCAAATTGGCCCAGAGACAAGGACAATGGTTCTGTATGCAGCAAGAGAACTGAAAACTGGTTTCCTCTGAACCTGTACCTACTGACTGACTTCAAGCACATTACAGGAAGGCTGTAACATGAGTTTTTTCCTTCTTGGACACCAAATAATCTATGTAAGCTTCAGTAATTTTCTCTGTCTTTGGGGAAAACCTCTATGCAGCTTGTCCAATTGTCTGTAACTAAGAAGGATTTGCATTTCCCTAGACAGTAGATCTTCTAACGTCTTAGTCTGGTTTTACGTTTCTTCTCCGCCTTTCTCTCAATGAAGGCAACAAGTCTCTCTTCTCTAACCAGCTGCCTGTTTTCATGGTAGGAATTTGCAGTCTTTGAGGCTATGACTGCATATGAAATCTGGCTGCAACTGATGAATGGTTTTAAAAGCTCTTCTGGGGGAAGGAAGGTATAGGCAGAGTGTGCTGGCATAAGCCTTGCTTTCCTGGAATTTTAGGCCTCTGCATAGGAAGCCTATCTAAGGTCGACATGTTGTTAAAACTGCCCAGCACACATGTGCCTGCAAAGCACTCTGACACCTCTATTTCTATAGTTCTTGGCTATAGGAACACGAGCCGATCATCACGTCTGTCATCTTAATTTTGTTACTTGGTTTAATATCTCTAAAGGGACTTAACTTTGCAGAGCGCAGATGTTCCTAACTCAGAAATGGGACTCTTGAAGATGATCTCAAACTGAACAACTAAGCTAACTTTTACATTTCTTAAACTCTCTGGGGGCCCATTTCAAGCGTGGGTCAAGTCCTGCAAGACAGCAAAGGTCTCCTGGAAGCTGTTCAGTTCTTTCTGAACTCCCTATCTTGAAGAAGGGTTAGATAGAACTGCTTTCTCATGCAAAGTAAACTAAGAAGCTTTGCCAGAGGATCAGCGTGGGACACAAAGGGGACACAGTGCTCGTGTAAATAAGCACATATAAAGTAACTCCTGTGCAGCGAGGTTTGCCGTTTCCCCTTTACGGCTCCACAGATATGCTAGTTATGCCGACCTAAGCCTATCTGCTCCAAATATTGCCTTTCTGCACCTAATGGTTTCAGGCTGCCTTTGCAGGACTTCTCTTGTCCTGCATTCCTTGAAAACTGCAACTGCACCATTTCTGCTTTTCTCCAGTTTTTGTTTGGAGAAGACTTCACTCATTCCTTCAAACATGCACACGTTTCCAACAAGCCTAAAAGTGAGTGTAAGGATTTGGGGATCACTCATACGCACAAATGACCTAGAAGCAATTCAAAGTTGTCTTTCCCTCCTGCAGTTAAACACAAACAGTTGCCTAGACCGAAAATGTACAGTGCCCGTAAGCTCTACTGTTTAAAAATATGAAGCTCTCAGCATGATGTAACACCGTGCTTGTTTCTGAACTCGGCTGTTGACTTCTGTGACAAATAGATGAGTCCTGTAAACGCCAGCGTTTTTCCCACCCTTTCTAGTTCTTTAAACTACTAAGCATTACATTTTGCCGAGAGTAGGGGGAGTTGCAATTCACCAGGAACACTTTCTTCTAAAGGCAATTAAGTATTACCAGTTGCTTCACATACCACACAGAATCTTTCCACTGGCAATGTAAGGCATTTTAATCCCTGAATCACCCTCCTTTGATAAGTGTTTTAAAATCTTTACAGCTCTCAGACTTGCCATATTTTACAGAAATCTTAACCTAAGATATGCATACAAGTAGCAGTATGCAAGCAGCTTTCAAGGGGTATAAGATTTGGCATGACACCAGAGATGCTTCTGCCAGTGGCAGCACCAGCTGCTACTGTGGCTGATGATGGAACCTGGCAAAAAAATATTTGGAAACTCCCTCCCCTCCAGCCCTTCTTTAATCACGGATTAGAGACTCTCTGGATAGCATTTTGAGTCAGTGGTTCCCTTAAACACCACGAAGGGCTTGAAGGCCTTGCTAAAATGCAACCTTAATTTTCAAAGGACAAGCGTTTTTCAAAAGCCTTAGGCTTTTGACAGCTTATCAGAATTTATCAACTCCAACACAGTTCCTAATAATTCAACGTGTAAATCCCACTGTCACTTTAAATTCCTCTCGTAAACAGAGAAACCATGGAATTAAATTAGTAACTTCCTGCTCTTCTCCTACGATGTGTCCTGATGACATGGTAATATATTAAGCTACGCAGTGAGATTTTCCAGTGAATTTCTTTTGCAATAAGAAGTTAAAAAAAAAGGATATACCTTAACCAAAACCAGTGGTGTAGCAAAGTGATTCCTAAATATTTATTACTCGTGTTTGCTCTAGGATGTCTGCTTCACGTAAACATCCCTCTGCTATTGCCCCCCACCCCCCAGATAGGATCTGACCAGTACGATTGAAGGCAATGAGATCAAATTATTCACAGCCAGCTTCTCTAAACATTATAAATATTACGGATATATATGAGTCTCTTTAGAATTAGCCATACTGTTCACAGTAAGAGCTACAAAAAAGTCTGCTTAGAAACACCCTCTGTGGGTGTATATAAGCTGCTACTGAATTATGAAAAATATCTTGTAACTGCATAAGTTTCTGCAGTTTTCATTAAAATATTTTTAAATCGATAAAATATTAATTTGAAATTTGCTAAAATAATGCTTTTTTCAAAAAACTCAGATTGGGATCACTGGCTCCTTAAGATGACAACAACTCTAGCAAAAAGCCACCTTTAACCATAATTTCTCTTGAAGAATTGTAGGACTTAGACCTGGGAATCCAGTGAACCACCTTTTGAGTCTCGCATTAACACAAACTTTGTTGAGTGGATCTCTCCATTTTAGTTCTATAATCTGACAACCCTGAATGCTTCTGACTTGATTAAGCGTGTGGAGTGTTTTAAAATAAATGTTGCAATTAGCATGAGAGTGCAGCTTTGTGAACGCTTGAAAGAGTTACTAAAGTGCCGAGGAGTTGCCACTTCAGCAGTGATGTTTTTTTGTCACTAGATGAGATAATTAATGTCAGTCAGCCAAAGACTAAATAAATATGCACGTAGCTGAAAAGGCCATGTAAGCACAAGAACTGAATCTGTGTATATTTCTGCTGGTCTGAACCTGCCTGTTCCAGACTGGTCATACCATTGCAGGAGCAAGACCAGCCGACAGGCTAACCAGGCTCTCAGGCACAGTGTGTGCTGCTGCAATCCTGAAGAGATATCATCAAGAACCTGCAACCTTGTTTGTGCTGGCTCTGCCGGCATGATCGAGGGAGTGACACACTCTCTGATGTTACCTGCAAACTTTGAGAGGGGAAACTGGTATTTTGCTACTCTAACTCACCGGCTGTGCAACCCGTTCTCTCTTTCTTGGTGTCCTGCTGCTATAGGTCTTTCACCTTTAATTTTACATTCAAAACCACTTTATCTGAGAGCTGTAAATCTAAGCATAAAGATGAGATACGGTCTGCAACGTCTTGATATTCCAAGTGCTTTTATGATTCAGATTAGCGAGTTCTCAGTAAGTTAAAATTTACTTTACCTACCAAATCCGGTTTCAGTTTGTAGGTCAAAGGAAAGGAGTAAAGTATGGAGTACAGGGTTGTTACCACCGAGGAGGTCCAAGATTGTCTAACCTCACGGCTTCTGGGAATGCGATCAAGGGTGAACTGGAAGAAAGCACGATAGACTGAACTGTTATTTCTCTAAGAATGTTATTGCTCCTTTTATAGAGTTATTAGATCTGTCTGTGCCAACTTTTTTTTTGTTGTTTTGAAATCTAGTTTGGAAATGTTTGGGTACGAAACCTTTGCTTAGGTGCCTTATTCAGTGTCATGCTTAGCGCTCCTGGCAATAAAGTAAAACGAAATACTAGGACTATATATCTATTTTTTAATCTCTCCTCACGTTACTTTGAAACATTCCTAACTTAATAAACAATTCAGCTAGAGAAGCTTCACCCGCAGTATGTTAACGTAGTGCCCCACCTCGTGGCCACCGAGACACAAGCCTAGGTCTGATTAGACACAGCCCAAACACGGTGACCCTCTTCTGTCTCTTGCCTGTTTAAACTCCTCGTAGATTTCTACTGCAGAAGAAGTTACAACTTTCCTCAGTTCATGTCCGGGGCATACTATTAAAAACGTAACGGCAAACATCACTATCCTTTAAATGAGAACTCCATGAGTATTCAAAAGATATGCAAGGTACATATCCAAAATGCAAAATATTTGCATAAAGAAACAGGAAAGAATGTCATATTATTAAATAAAAAAAGTTTAAGAAACTATTTTATTCTTCCTCAGAAAAAGCAGAGGTTATTCACAGCGTGTAAAAGGTATCAAATTAATAAAACACAGATGTTTTATTTCTGTCTCAACACTGTAAGCAGTCAGCAGCAGTCAGGCCTCCTGCACTCTTCGCAGATGGCTCTTACCTTGACACAGAGGAACGGCACCTAAGAACTATTACTATAGCAGAAGGCAGTCCTGATGCCACTGACTTTTTTGACTGTTTAAATGAAAGACAGATATAATGTCTGCAGTGCACTGTTTATCGAGCTTGACATATTGTTTAGATCTGGGCAATGGTCACTCTCTCACTTCATATGGGACAGCAGACCACTATACTCTAGAAGAACTCATTGGGAGTGAGAAACTCCAAGTTATCATCATAAATACTGAAAATTGCCCAGTTACTTCAAATACTAATTGTCATAGCTTAGCCCTGGTGATTTGTGCCCAGGAAAGATGATGTTGCCAATAGCTGTGCAGTAAATACAAACTACAAATCAGGGCTTTTTTTCATATATAAGGTGGAAAGAATAAAAAAACCAACCCACACTTATAAATTCAGAATATTAAGTTAATTTTCTTGACTGAAATTATCTTGTTTCATTGCAACAAGGTTCTTTAATTGCTGTGATACTGGAAGGCATTAACAGATGTTACAAACTGGTGGTTTTATTTGCAGGTGTTGAAACTCTGATTGCATTAGTCTGACCACAGAATATGGAAAAACAAACATGGCCCCTGCTCCCCATTCAACAGGATCCTGGTTATCACTGCCTGTTTCTTAAAGCTTTGGAAGAGTTCGGGTGATAAAAAGAAATGCCGTAAGTGGAGTTTAGACCCTTGCAGAGTATTCGGTCCTGCGAGAAACACGTGTATGATACGGTTGTTTTAGGCAGATCAAGCTTCAGTGGAACTATTCAGATGCTCCCTTCACTGTAAGGGTGGTGGTATACAGTATTTGCCAAAAAAACTGTATGTGATTTTCTTCATCAAAACCCCAACCATTTCAGCAAAACTTGGCAGGGACCCCAAACAGTATCAAAGTAGATATTGACTTGTAGAATTCAATCAAAGATCAAGCTGATTTTATCAATACTCTTCAAAAAACATGCTTGAAACTTTGCACATCAGTGCCACTGTTGTAGGACTTCAGCCCACATATCAATCAACTCTTAAGTATTAAGCTGAGAAACAAAACCGGGGTTGTTTTTGTTGTTTGTTTGTTTAAAAGCCACTGCCAGATGCTTCTGCAATCCCAGCCTCTCATCTGATGGAGTACTGTGAGTATTGCAGACAAAGGTCATACCTCCTGTGTCTTTCGCTGAAAAACTGCATAGTATGTCTGATACCAGAAACAGACAAATTGGGCTCATTTTGGATTTTTTTTTCAAGAGACTTAGTCCGTGGAGGTGCAGCATTTTGCTTCTTGTAAGCAAGGTGCTCATTCTGGCTTCCCTTCCTCCTCCCTGAATACCGCAGCTTTTAGAACTGCGCCAGACCACAGATCAGAAAGAGAAATATTTGTGGGTTTTTATATCGAAATTTGTTAAATGAGTACACTGATTTTCTCTTAGGTCGTTATTGCAATCTGTCTTCTGTCCAGTCCTTAGTTCTGGAAAAATTTACTTCCCTGACAAGCTGAGGAAGTGAATGACCATGGGACTTTTCCCTTCCATTTATTCAAAGCTGCAAGAACCTACTAACGCATGATTTTTAAATGGTTGATGAGCTCCAGCAACCCCAGTGCCAAAACACACACTACTTGACAGCATGCTCTGAAAGTTAGCAAATCTATGTTATAGGCACGTGACCTTTACTTTCCAAAATTTATCTTCCATTTTCACTCTAAATACTTTTGTCAGTGGAAAAAGAATGACCAAAGGAAAACGAGCATCTGTTATCCAGACAGCAAACTCAGATGCAGCCAAAAATGTTCCTCTGGCTTTCAATGGTGAAGGAAAATGTAACTACACGATCTGTTAGCAGTTGGAGGGGGTACGAAAGGGAAGCTGCTTAGCAAAAATAAGCAAACTAGTGGAAAACTGCATAACCCTTTAATACTCAAAATATGCATTTTTAAGAAATTCAGTAATTTAAGGTTGAACGTTTTTCCGATAAGTGAGTATGACTGTGTGAGTGACTGATTACCAAACAAGATTTCGCTGAACAGGAAATATCTCTGGTCACTTTATTAAAATTTCACCCATGGTGCCCAACGAGAGAAGAGACCGCCACGCTCCATTTTAAACTAAGTCATCCCCACTTGGTTCAGACGCTTGTGGTAGGCAGGGAAACTTTGTCTTCCAAGGTGAAAGCGGGGTAAACAAACTTAAAAACGTCATTCCTAAGTGAGCCCGTTGCTCACCTTGGCAGCAGTGGCTTTACATTAAAAGGGTTCATTCTGAAAATGATTGGTACTGAGTCCTACAATTTTTTGTCGCAGTAGCGCTGCTGGAGGCAACAGAAATATCAGAAATGCATCATAGGACATCAATACCATGTAAATAACTAATTTACTGCTTGTACTATTTGCTCAAAAGGACTAAGATTTTTATAGTCAGAACACTCATTTCTGTGGTACTTACTCCAATTTTCAAAGAAAAATATCATATTTCTACTAATTTCATTGGACATCAGATCACACTTTGAGTCACCAGAGTCATACTGCTGTCTGTTAATCATACAGCAAACTAGCTCAAAGCAAGCAAATATGTGCTAAAAAGGCAAACAAGATATTTTCATTATTTTTTCATGGTTTTCATGAAGTCATCAACATTAAGAGGTATTGCATACTTTAAACATCTGTAACATGCTTAATTTTAATTTAATTTATTTTAAAAAATACATTATGTCACTGAGGGAAATGCCCAACTAAAAAAAAAAAAAGAAAAAAAACCCCACCATATTTCTGTATTTTTACAGTACAAATAACTCTTTGATGGCTAGCTGCCTTACAAAATTAAGAGAGATTTATTTTCAGCATGCTTTTCTTGAGCAAGAGATAGACTTTGTACAGTCATTTTCACTGCAATTATGTTCCCTCATTGCTTTGAAAGGATTAATGTGTCCACAGGAGGTAAAGACCATTTTAAGAGAAAGTAAGGAAGGTGGTAGTGAAAATTGGTAGCAAGAATGGCATTTGCTATTTTTAGTATATTTACTTTGCATTTTCAGTATCTCTCTAGTACAGCATTAATCAATAGTGTTTATTTCATTCACTTTTAGAAATGTAAAAAACAGTATGTGCAGAATGGCACCTTTAGCTGAACTTCAGTGCAAGTGATTATCAATCCCTAGAAAAACCAACAGCACCTGCTGATCTTAAAAATATCCTTTTGAAGAATCACTTCCAAATTGCCTTGAATTAGAATGTCATGTTAAGATCATTTTATCTTACAAGAGCATATTTAACAAGTTACCTGGGAATTGGAGAACGTTTCAGCCCTTTTTTGTTCAAAAGAACGTATTTTAGCCTCACTCATCTTATCTGAGTCTGCAAAAACATAGTGTCTAGGAGAGTAGGACTCTGACAAACAGCTGAGTAACCTCAGGATTTCTGTTGTGTGCCCACCTGTAAAAACAAAATAAACCGCAGCTAGTATATGAAAAATGTTGTAACTTTCAATTTCTTCAGGTGAATCACTTTCCCTTTTAAAACTCATTAGTACTACTATCATCAGTGACACTCTTCTGAGAGTAGAGGATTCAATTAAAGGATGGTTGAGACTATCCAAGTAACGTGAAGACAACTCAGCTCCCACTGAAGCTGTATTGGTGGAAGTTTCTCAGTTAAATGGGACTGAACCAGGATCACGCAGAGGTACCACATTCGTGTTTAACGTCCAGTAAACGACGCAAAAACACCCGGGCAAAGAGTGATCCTGCAGTCCACGCTCAAAAGCCACGCGTGACGTGGTTTTTGACATGGTGCCATGGTCAAAACCAAGCTGGATGGGATCCGGCTCCGAGCTGCGCCACGGAGGCGTCCCTCCCTCCCGCCCGCCCTGCCCAGTGTCCAGCCCTGCGGCCTGCACGAGCAGCTCGTCCTCCTGAAACCAGGCAGGCAGCCACTTCCCTCCGCAGCCAGGCCAGTGCCAAGGCTGAGCGCTGACAACACTCCAGCTCCAGGCCAGGGCTTTAATCATTGCCCTTGAGCGGGGGTTGACAACCTTCCAACCGCAAGGTCGCCGTGCCCAGGCAGCTAAATCGGTGCTGAACCAGGGAGAAGGGGAGGGTGTGTTTTTTGAGAACAGAGTTGGGTTTTTCGTCAGTTGAGTTTCCTGAACCAGAGTTACAGCAACACCTGTAGCAGCGGAAGGGGAGAGGGAGGATTGTGTGTGTCGGTAATGCGGAGCCAGCTCGCCTTTTATCCGTCGGCTTAACATGAAGCTGCACCCCTAAGTATGTGCATCAGCATCTACTGGACGTGTTACTTTTCACTCTACTCGAAGTTGCAGGACAAAATAGTAAACTACGTGTATTCCTACTACCTCCTGCTGCCCAGTGTCTTTAGCCTCTTAAGAGACCTTTGCTATAGAAAGCAAGAACTCCCAGCTGGCAAACAAGAAGGGAGAGCTAGGCTGCTGCATTAGACATGAGAGTTTCCCACCTTTCCATAGAGTTTTATGCAGTATTTTTCAAACGTGTTTGGAAGGATTTTCTCACGAGTAACAGTTTGCTGAAGCTTTCACAAATTTTAATGCAATTGTCCGAGTACTCACAGAAGAGTAGGAGATTTCTACTTCAAAAAAGTCTCGAAGAATAGGCTTGAACGTTACGTGAATCTTAACTGACTTATGAACTACTTCACCTGGTAAACTTTTGTATAGTGAATGTTCTTTTTTAATACGTACAAGCTAGATTCTGAAGCACCAAAGGAACGCAAGCACATTTCCAGCCCTGGTGGAAGTAAAGATGGCCTGAAAAATTATAAATCTGCCAGTCCAACTCAGGTTGCAGAAAGATCCTGGGATTATTACTCAATTAGTCGGTGTGCAAAAACCACAGGGATACTGAGGTGATGAAATCAAAGCTTGCCTGGATTTGTCAGCTGCAAATTTTCAAGGCAGTCTGATTTTTTTGAGACAAATTAATTGCCGTGCGACTTTGGGGAGGTAACAAGGAGTAGCAGGAGCGTGTGTGTCCCCTTAGCATGGGGTGGGGACACACCTGCCTCTGACACACCCACGTGAGACTTGTAAGTAAACCACAGAAACGTGGTTTGGGCAAAATTATTACAAACTATCACCTATGTAAGGGGTATATCGACCTTTGGAAATCCTCCCCTTGAATCGCCACCAATGGTTTTCTGTCAGAAGACTGTCAGTTCATGACTTTGGTGAAACGCAGGCGCTGCCTGAAGGATCTGAAACCAAACTCTCAGACATAAACACGGACGAAAATGCCCCAAATAAAGACGAAGCTTAACAAATACTCAAACCAAGACTAAAAAACCCCAAAGACAGGCGGTGGCCTCGAAGGCGCCCG